ACTTCAAATGCTATTAAAAAAAATTGTGCCTAGTATTCTTACTTTTTTTTAATCACTATAAGAATAACTAATGAGGAACTTTGTATTATTAATTTTTCAAGTATTTTGACTGTCAAAATTTTTTTATCGATATTTATAAAAAAAAAAAAAACTAAACAAAAACGAATATTACAAATGCCTATAAATAGCATTAAAATAAGTGAAATATTTTGAAAATTAAATTATGTAAAGAAAATGCCAATCTAAATAATTGGTGAAATTTTCAAGTATCTACGAAGTATATACTTTTTGAATAATAACAAATATTTAAAATCGTTTGAGGATAAATCGTTATTGTTACGTGATTTCGTAAAAATTTTAAATTCAAACGCTCATAACATTTTTCCTATAGTGACGCTTCGAGTTTTCTCTATAACGTTTTGAAAGAAAACTTATGGAAAACTTAGTGTTACATTTTTTTAACCTTAGACACAAATAAAACATTTTTTATGAATTTTCAACTACAAAATTACTTGTAAATTGAAGCATTATTTTGACAAGTTTTGCTGTACACAGACACAAAAACAAAAAAACACATATCAATGTAAAATCAATACATCCATCACTCGTTCAGAATCTAAAAAACAAATATTGAAATTGATTTAAAATTAACCTTAGTTACAGATCGTTTAGTTTTTTAGAAAAATACAAAAAAAAAAAATAGTATTTATCTAGATCAAACGCTAATTTATTCATAAAATTTCAAGAATGTATTTATTAGATTATATTCATTAGTTTTTATCTTTATAACTATATAGAATCTCTAACTTGGCTTCGAACAATTCCATCCCAACTGCTGTAAAAGAAAACATCCATGGAAAATTTTCAAATACATTTACTCCAGACGATATGACGTTGGCTGTACCGTTGAACAATGTACATGATGTTTCAAAATATAAATTATATATATTAAAATTTCTTGATAGAAAAAGTACTGTTGAGTAACAATAATTTTATTTTATTATAATTCATTTTGTGAGTTTTTTAGTATTATAATAAATAATGCATAAATATTAATTATTGATAGTTATTAGTATGACCAATACGTAAAAGCGGAATAAATCATAACGATAATATACCGGCACAGTTTTAAATGGTCATTAGAGCGCTCGTATTAGTCGTATTGATAAAGATAATAAAAATAATAATAGACGGGACACACTGCACATCGGTAATCGGCGACGCGGTGGAACGATAAATGGGTTGCAGTGCAGGGAAGTCACTCACACTAATGATCATTTACTACACACAAACATACACGCCACGCACGCACGTATTTACAAAATGTCTAAAAATTGCCTATACTTAACTCCTTAAAAATGGTCGGTATGGAATCCCCTTAAGGTAAGCATATTAAACAATATTGCGTTATTTTAATACAATGTTAATAGTTTAATACCTTAATATAATAAATTACGCATAGCTTAAACTCTGAAAACATTATTATTTTATTTATTCTAATAAAATAATAATTCAATTGTTGCGTATTTAACAGTTTTAGTATTTATTATTTATTTTTATTGATGTTACTGGCTAGTATTTAATGTTTATTTTATAGTACATAATACTAGCTTCTATTAAAGTATATTTGTATATTTTTAAATTTTATAATATTACTTAACGAAAACAAACAATTGATCAAAATATTAATTTTGTATTTTAGAAATCGAAACCTAAAGATTCTACCATAGAAAATGCTTTAGCACATAAAAATGATCTAAATATTAAGACTCCTGAAACCTGTATATCTTCTTCTTCTTTTACTTCAGTTGATATAAGAATTTATGACATAATATATTTTGTTAACCTTGTGTTATCACATGGTGAAATTCATACAGTTATAAATAATATATGGACACCAGATATAACGTTTAAGTTTCCCATACATAAAAACTTCGATAAAAATAAAAAAAGGCAAACGAGCAAATTTCAATTTAATTGGTTATTAAGATGGCAATGGTTAGCATACTCTGAAAAAGAAGACGGTGCATTTTGTAAACTTTGTGTTGCTTTTTCCAAATCTGAAGGTGGAATAAATGGCTAGAAACTTGGTGCTTTGGTTACAAATAAATTTGATAATTGGAAACACGCTATAGAAACATTTACTAAACATGATAAACTAAATTATCATATTAAAAGTGTAATAGATACCGATAATTTTTTAAAAACGAGGAATAATCCAAGCATATCCATGGAAAATCAATTAGATACAGCACGTAGTAAACAAGTGAATGAAAACAGAATAAATATTTTACCTATAATTGAAGTTATTATTTTATGTGGTTGTCAAGAGCTTGTAATACGAGGACATAGAGATTTTGGTAAAATTAATGTAGATACAATACAAACTTCAAATGAAGGAAACTTTAGGGAACTATTGCGGTATAGAGCTCGTGGTGATCTAAAGCTCAAAACATTTCTTGAAGGTCCAGGTGAACGAAATAAATATATTAGTCCTACTAGCCAACATGCTATTATTGATTGTTGCAACACGGTAATACTTAATAAAATTGTAGCTGAAATAAATAAAGCAAAATGTTTCACTGTCCTCGCTGATGAAACTGCCGATGTATCTGGTATAGAGCAAGTGTCTTTATGTGCTAAATATGTTGATATAGATGAATTAGTTGTCAGAGAAGATTTTTTGCAGTTTGTTCCCATAAACGATTTAACTGGCAGAGGCTTAGCAACCGTAATTATTGAAAATTTGAAGGCGTTCGGGATAGAACTTAAGTATTTACGTGGACAGGGGTACGATGGGGCTGCAGCTATGTCTGGACAATTTAATGGTGTTAGATCACATATTTCTCAATTATATCCGATGGCAACTTATGTACACTGTACAGCACACACCTTAAACTTAGCAGTATCTAAATTCTGTACAATACAACCAATTAGAAACTGCTTGGGTACGATTGGAAAAACACGTGATTTCTTTATATACCCCAAACGAAAAAATATACTTTCACAAGCAATCGAAGACTTTAATGGAACAATTAATGCAAAAACATTAAAACGCAACTGTGCTACAAGATGGATCGAACGTTTTCATTCAGTTCATGATTTTATCGAACTTTTAGAATGTGTCATTGATTCCTTAGACACAATTAGTAGTTGGGCCGATGGTGATACCTCAAGTCAAGCAAATAATTTAAAAAATTCAATTTTACAAGGAGAGTTTATCATATCACTTTTGGTTTTATCTAAAATATTTGCCATTGGATTGCCACTGTCTAAACAATTCCAAAGCGTTGCTATTGATTTAATAGAAGCTATGGTTTTAGCTAATGCGACACTGTCTGAATTAAAAACAATTCGATGTAACGTTGATGAATATTTTCATGATATCTACACAAAAGCATCTGCTCTAGCTCAGGAGTTGTGTTTTTCAATAACATTACCTCGAATTGCACGTAAACAAAAAAACAGAGATAACTATTCAGTGAATACACCTGAAGAATATTTTAAAATAACAATATTCATACCCTATTTAGACTTGTTTATTAACGAAATTGAATCAAGATTTATTGAACATCAGAAAATATTAAAAGGATTTCAAAACTTATTTCCAAAAACGATAGAAATGTCAACGCTTGAAAAAGATGAATTTATTAGGTTGATAGATTTTTATAATGATGATTTGGCAGATAACAATAAAGATATTTTGATATCTGAGTTAAAACTGTGGCAACGTAAAATACTTGCATTAGATAAACAACCTACAAATGCTATGGATGCTTTAATTATCTGCAATGACATGTATCCAAATATATACAAATTACTACAAATATTAGCAACACTACCTGTTTCAACAGCTTCATCTGAAAGGTCTTTTTCGTCATTAAAGAGAATTAAAACGTACCTAAGGAATACAATGTCAGAGGTATTTATATAATATATTATATTATAGGAACTGTATATTTAATTAAACAAAAATATGAATGATATTTTAAATTTTTAGAAAAGATTAAATGGATTGGCAATGCTGTCCATTCATCGTTCAATATCAGTGGATGCAAAGGAAGTGTTGGACGAATTATCTACAAACAAACGACGGGTAGATTTTATTTTATGAATTTCCTATTATAATAAAAATAAAAATGACGTTTAGTTTAACTAATAACTTGTAAATGTGATCATAAATATATTTTAACCCCCCCCCCAGAAAAATTTTTTATCTACGCCGCTGTCCCTTTCTCTGACCATTATTCTATATGAGTAAAAACTTGATGCAGAGACAGTTTTTTTAAGCGGTAACTTGGTTTTTGGATCGCGTTGTGGTATATTGATTGCATACCCATCATCCCCCCAACAAAACATTAAAGGATACTGCAGTGCGTCGTATGCTCGATGTATCTCACTGATACGGTGAAGTGAGTTACTTCGGTTTTCGAGGATGATGTCTCTTCGATCAAACTGCTAATCTACTAACACTAAAGCAACTTCATTTGCCGTTGGTGCATTATAACTGCATCTATGTTCTTCTGGTGGTTTTTTATCTGCATGTATTACAACTTTAAATGACTCTGAATGAGGTATTTTATCGATGGTAAATTGTAATGATCAATTGTAAATTATGCGGTGGCATGCCTAGTAAATCCAATGAGTTTAAAAACTTTCTTCTTTGAAGCGGATAAAAACTTATTTACGTTTAAAATAAGGACAAAAAAATTAAACTCCTGTGCGATTTTGTCGATTGAAAGTGAAATGACACAAGAAATACAATTTGAAGACATAATTCAAAATTTTGTGGAAAAAAAAGCAAGACGCAAACAAAGAACAACTTTTAGTTATAATTCTTAGTAGGTAATAATTTTTATCAAAAATTATATTTATAAACAAAAATGATGCTTAAAAAAATTTTAATTAATAATCAATTAGTTATAATAATTATCACTGCAATGGTCACACTGTAAAAATATTTTACATATGTTTTCGAAATACTGATAACGAAGGCAAATAATATGATTTTGACCTTACCTCAAAAAATAAAATTTAGTTATATTCCTCGAATTTTGATTACTCGATTTTCTTTTAGTACAGATAAAAACTACAAGCCTCTCGAAATATAAATCATAAAATGGCATCTTCCAAATGCACAACTATCGTAAGTTTATATTTTAGTCGTTGTTGATTTATTTATTGACCGGCTAACGTTCACTAATGTTTCAGGTGAGGTATATGAGTTCAGCTTCATCTCAAGGAATGATCAAAGTGAGTTAATTTTTTTTCATTTAATTTTAAAATTTTTGGCTGTGTAATATACTATTACGGTTTTTTTTTTTTTTTTACAACAGCCTCCGATTAAAGTATTTGGCATTGAAGGGCGATATGCTACAGCACTGTTTTCGGCTGGTAGCAAACAAAAGAATCTGGAAACTATAGAAAAAGATTTAACTAAATTTCAGGCAAGTTATTTTAATTTTTAACATATCATTTAAATTTAACCAATGTTTTTGTTTATAGACTGCATTAAAATCTGATGAAGTCTTAAAGGAATTTGTTGATAATCCAATTAACAAAAGGTTATTAAAAGCCAACACTTTACAACTGGCTGCTAAAAAACTTGCATTGTCACCTCCATCAGCCAATTTCTTGGGTAAATATATTTTGATTCTAATTTAACCCTTTGTCGACCGACGGTACTCATAAGTCCACTAAAATAAAATACGTATAAAATATTAGTGAACAATATATTTGTGATTCTCACTGGTCGGTATTTAAGAGTACCATCTACCGATTAAATAAACATTATTTTAAAATTGGTTGTGCTATTATTAAACATTTTATCGGCGATTAATTTCGGGGACTGCAGTATTCAACACATGTATATGACTTGGTGTTTTTCCTTTCTATTTATATATACATATTTTGTAATTTGATCAAAATAAATAGTTTTGTATGTTTAGATATATGTCTAGGTGTATTATATTGTTCGGTTAGCTCGAATTCATTATCGATATAACGAAACACTGACAAATAATAATATGGACTTATAAGTACCATTGGTATATCACAGGAGAAATTTAGTCTGTTCTCAACTCGTCTTTGTCGTGTCGTGTTGCTAACTACCGTCGTGCTTGTGAAATCGTTTTTTTTTACGTACTATATAAATAATTTTAACAACAGCCCGAATTATTAAACCATAATTACTATTATTTTTTAAAATTTCAAATAATAATGACAATGTGTTACTTCAGTGGTTAAATGAAGACAAATATGGAATCATAATTTTTTTCAAATTATTCAACTAATACATAATTCAAAATTGTACCATTCATTCTCACAAAAAAATAAAAAATGTATAACAAATAAAAATGTAAAAAAAAAATTATATTCAACCAACAAAATAATTAATGTGGTGTTGACCTGATAATATTGCATTTTTCAGACTAAAATACTTAATTTACACCTTAGAGTTATTGAGGTTTTTGATTTAGAATTAAATATTTTAAAAAAAATTGTAATACTTATTTTTACAAAAAAATATTATTTAATATTTAAATAAGAGAAGAAATCATTTTTTCTCTAGTTGTAAATTAATATTGTATGTTCCACATGTTAAAAAAAATATGGCAAAATGACTGTTGGTACTTCGAAGTACCAATAAAAAAAATGTCTAGATGACCAATGGTACTTCCAAGTACCAGGGTCCTAAGTAAAATTTGAGTAAGAAAACAAAAAAAACGAAAAAAAAATTAGTCTTATATAGGTCAAATATAACATGTTTGTGCAAAAAAAAATTTAAAAAATATCTTAATTCGATGCTTGGTCGACAAAGGGTTAAT